TGGCGTCGGTGGGTGGGCTTGGGGACCCCATTGAGATGAAGCATTATGTGAGATTCAGCCGCCTCAAGTTCTACAATCTGTTCGTGAAGCCATACCCGGAGTGCGAGAGGATTTTCGGGGGCCTAGTCAGGGAGAAAAAGGATGAGGTGAGGCGGCAGCATCCGGTGGGGTTGTGGAAGCTGTTTAAACCGGCGAAGTATGAGATCACTGAGGAGAATGTGAAGGACATGAAGTTGGTTGTTGAATCACTTCATTAGCTCTGTTCAGAACACCAACTGCTACCGATTTTGAATTGGGCTGCTCATGATTCTGGGGATATTTGTGGTGGTAACAATGTGGTTCGTATTGTGAAAGCGTATGTTTGAATTGCAGTGCATTCTGCCAGCAAAATGTCATCTGTGCTGATCAAACATGGAACCGATTGGAATCTGCAAGATAAGTAAATCGAGCCCTAGGCTCCTAGCTTAAGGTTGAGGTCAATTATAATGACCCCATCATGATATGGTGATCAGAGCTGGTCTCATCAGGAAGCAAACAAGATAATTGTTTGATGAAATCTGGCAACTTATGGAAGGCTCATCTCAAGTTACCAACAAATAGGTAACAGAGGCAGTCATTCTTTCTATATTTTGAGTAATCAATGATCATCAGGGAAAAAAATACTCGATAGGTTGCCAAAATGATTATTAATGTTGGAAGACTTGTGAACTTGTGTGGTCTTCTTGGATAAAGGTTATTGTGATACAAATTAGATAGGCGGCTAATTTTTCACCTGAAGTTTTCGCAAAATCAAACTGAATGAATAAGCAGATGACATAATGTGTGTTGTTTTGCTTGGAATTTGTGTACGAAGATGGCAGATGATAGCAAAAAGTGATGGATCTGGAAGAAGAAAACAGCAGCGAGGCTAATACACAGTTTTAATATTGTCATTAGAAGTGAGGGAAAAAATCACAGGTACTCAGGTAGTATGATTTTGTTGCTGGTTCTTGCATTATCTGTTTAGCACAGAGGATGTAGGATTTGTAAAATGGTCATGCTTCCTAACTTGTATCTGTGACACTCTCTCCACCTAATCTGCTATAGATCCTAACTCTTTCTCTATTAGATTATTTATTTCATAGGAAATGCCAAGCTGATTGTTGCCATTCCCCGTAGATATAAATAGAGGAGATATGACTCTTGGTTATTTTGAATCGCAAAAGCTGACCTCTGGTTCTATCTGTCGTAGTGCTCATTGTCCGCAATGCACAATATCAATAATAGTGTACTCATTTAATACTTTTTTTGTCCGTGGAAATTTTCAGTTTTGCGTTTAGAAGTTGATCTTTTTGTGATCTATGACATAAAGTATATTATTTATTTAGTTTTGTATTTCTGGTTATTACATTGGCAATGTCCTGTTGTATGAAGACTCTGGTTTGGGTACAGTTTTACCCTTCGAAGAATATTAGCTTGCTGAAAGCTTATTGTTGAACCCATTGGCACATTGAAAGATGTCCTTACTTCACATTCAAGGAAAGATAGTTTGTTGATGCGTTGCTGCTTTAAGGAAACACTAGGGGGATTCGAACTTCTGATTGGTGAGCTACACAACATGCCATCGTGGTCAATTTTTCACCATAAATGTTTTGTTCTGTGATAAGCTGCTATAAAAGCGAAATAATTCATTATCTTCGTAAGTCATCATAGCATTTAGAGAGTAGTCATATCTGCGCTTCTGCAGAAGTAAAGGTGGAGGGATGAGGAAGCTTTCTGTACTGTTTATAGCCATGGTGATTTTTGCATTATGCTGTTTTATGCGTGTATCAAGTACGGAATCTGTCCGATGTAAAGTTCTCAAGCTATAACCTCATGTGCAATGAACATGGATCTTCTTCTGTTGTCAAGTGTGGAGGTTTTCCTTTTTACCGCGCAATAATTAATGATACAAAATGGAGCTGCCGGAAAGTAAGCCTCCTTTGATTTGGAGGAATTTTGTAGGAACTCTACAAGATATGATTCTATAGGAAAAATCCTTTAGGTCTCCTTTGCTTTGTAGGTTTGTAGAACCTTTATAGGAATTCTATAGGATATGATTTTCAAAGGGAAAGAAAATCCTTCGAATCCCTTTTGTTTGTAGAAATGGATTTCAAACCTCATAGGAAGCTTTCTGTACTGTTTATAGCCATGGTGATTTTTGCATTATGCTGTTTTATGCGTGTATCAAGTACGGAATCTGTCCGATGTAAAGTTCTCAAGCTATAACCTCATGTGCAATGAACATGGATCTTCTTCTTTTGTCAAGTGTGGAGGTTTTCCTTTTTACCGCGCAATAATTAATGATACAAAATGGAGCTGCCGGAAAGTAAGCCTCCTTTGATTTGGAGGAATTTTGTAGGAATTCTACAAGATATGATTCTATAGGAAAAATCCTTTAGGTCTCCTTTGCTTTGTAGGTTTGTAGAACCTTTATAGGAATTCTATAGGATATGATTTTCAAAGGGAAAAAAAATCCTTCGAATCCCTTTTGTTTGTAGAAATGGATTTCTATTCCTACGTAGATAGGAACCAGTCTTTCATATTTTGAAGGAAAATAACATTACTACTCTATGGATCAAATGGCATTTTTTTATAGGAATTGAGATACATGTCATCTCACTTCTTATGATTTTCTATTCGTATAATATTCCTATCTTTTTTTTTTTTGAGGAAGGTATAATATTCCTATCTTGAAGGGGAGCCTTGGCGTAGCGGCAAAGTTGTTGCCCTGCGACTATGAGGTCATGGGTTGAGTATTGAAAATAGCCTCTTGCAAAAATATATGATAAAACTGTGTACTATAAACCCAAAGTGGTTGGACCATGTGCAAACAGAAGCTATGTGCGCCGGGCTGCCTTTTTTTTATTTCTATCATATATGAACCAAAGAAGACATGAAGTTGATGGTGATGACGTCCTCCATTGGACCCTGGGTTTGAACTGCGTTCACTCCTCATTCCATCTCAATCTTCTTCATCCATCGAAACCTCATAGGTCAATTTGGTTTACAAAAATTAGAGACAAAAATAATGTCGTTGGGGAGCCTTGAACCGCACTCTGCACCAGCTCAATGAAACCAACAAGTGATCACCTCATTCATACTTTTAATGAGAAAGTATTTATGAGTAAGCTTGCAAAATGATCTTATGTTATGGAATGGAGAGAGTACATGCTAGTGCTTCCATAGCCGTGCATTTACGTAGGTGCAGTTTTTCCAACATTGGAAGTCCGTTGGTTGTAGCATACTAGTACATTTTTCGGAAACGACCCAGATCTTCTAAAAGCACCCCTCTCCACGTCTCTCCAGGTTGTTGATGCAGATCACATAGTTTCAGGATTTTGTTGACGGCGGCATTCTCATGGTGGACCTATTTCCTCGGGCTTCATCGTTGCGACGACGTTTGCTCCAACGCTAGCGTGGAGCTTGGAATGTAGTTCAGGAGCGGATGCAGATTGTGGTATGTATTGGCGGCATATGAAAGATGGTGGATCTTGTGCTAGGTTCGTGGCAGGCACGCCTGGTTTCCTCCTCCGACGTTTTAGTCTTGCGGGGGAGCCAAATCTGGAGTTCGATGACGTGTCCAGGATGTTGCCCCGGTTTAATTGTTCAACGGCAATAATTTCGGCTAATATATTTCGCCTCTATTAGCGAGCCACCTTGAAGGTCCGCAAAATTGCATGTCAGCGTTGAAGCCGTGTCAAGCTCGAGCATGAAGGTGAGTCATTTTATTGTAATTTTTTATGGCTGTTGTGGTGTTGTCAGAAAGACAGAGACATGTGACGGCGTTAAAGCAACTCCAACGGGCCGACCCAAACGGACGGCGCATTTGTCTGCTTTTTGTCCGTTTGGGTCGGCCGTCCGCCCGTCGTCCGTCCTCTTTTAGATTTGGGTTGGCAGCGCGCCCAACGCGCCGACCCATTTCATGACCGCGCGCGTTTTAGATCATGCCAGCGGCCATGCCAGCGCGCGGGAAAGGTTGGCGCGCGCGGGGGAAGTTTGACCTAGCGCGCTGGCTTTGGCGCTCCAGAGCGTGGGAAATGTTCGCGCGCGCATTTTGGCGCGCCACGGCCGGCGCTCGTTATAAAGGTGGCGCTCCCTCCACAGTCAGTCCGCCACCGCCGCCCACTCGTCTTGCCCCCTCTCACTAGCCTCGCCGCCTGTGCGCCACCATGTCGATGCGCATACTTGACGCTTCGGATTTCCGCGGAGTCCGCGAGCGCCCCTCCGTCACCTTCTCCGCTGAGATCTTGTTTGACGAGAAACGGCTCATCCTCGGCACCTTCGACACCGCTGAGCAGGCGGCCCGCACGTACGACGCGGCGGCGTGCCGCCTCCGGCGGCCGAGACGGGAAATGAATTTTCCCGACGTGTCGAGCCAGCGGGCGCAGGATCTGACGCCTCTCCCGCGGCTTTTCACCGACGAGGATCCCCGCAGGACGTGCAAGCCTTGCTGGTGTGGCGCGAACGCTTCCCGCAGGACATCGTCGACGAACGTCAGTTCTATGAGCAGAGGAGGACGGAGCGAGCCGCCTATCGGGAGGGCAAGCGTACGCGAAAGCTGACCGCTCAAATAAGACTGAGGCTGCGAGAAACATCGGGGTAGGACTTCGCGGACGAGCATGCTGATGACGCCTATATTCAGACGTCGGAGGAGGACATTACCGAGTCAGAATCGAAAAGCGACGAGTAGTTGATCTTTTCTTTTATCTGTGTACGCAAGAACTATCTATGTATTCTTTTTTATCGGAAAAAATGGCCGGCGGCGTCGGTCACGAAGCCGGCGGTGAAGGTTGTGCACGCGCGGAGAGGAGAGAGGGCGCGCGCGCATCCGTTTTGTGTCCGCGCCGACGCAAATCCTGCTCAAAAATGGGCCGAGAATGGGTCGGCAAACGGACAAAAGCAGACGCGCATCCGTTTGGGTCGGCGCGTTGGGCCGTCTTTTATGTCCACACCAATCTAAATAGACGCGGGCGGACGAAATGGGTCGCCCGATTGAAGTTGCTCTTAGTGTCCGTCCGGACGTTCAAGGTGTGTGTGCGGAGCCGGACTTTGGGTTTAGTCAGGCATACGTGCGTGACACATACGCCGCAGCACGCTTCCAGCATAGCCGCGCCGCCGCACTCCAGCCCCGCCTCTCGTCTCCTCCGGCCGGGCGCGCCACGCGCCGTCCCCCACCGCGATTGCTCGTCACCCGACTCCCCCGGCTAGGAACCCTCCCCCGTTGCTGCAGCTGGGCGAGGAGGGCGCTCGACCTCCGCTTCCCCCACCCGCACTGCTGGGCTCGGCCCCGGTGCTGCCCAAACAATGCCATACAGGTCACTCCAGGAACAAACAGTTCCGTTCCCACGAGGCTAGTAGAAAGGTACGTGCCCTCAGCCCCGCCCCCTCCGGCCCACCAGACCCCCCAGGTCCACCTACCCAATCCACGACCGCGAGGAACGGCGCCGCGACCACCAACCAAGCCCGTAGCCGCCGCCGCCGTCGCCGTCCCCAGCGCACCCACAGCGACCGGCCCCCCTTTCCCTTTCTCCACGAGGTGCATTTATACGCTCCCACAGCTTCCTCACACTTCCTGTAACTCTCGCTCTCAGCTGACTCCCGTCAATCTCGATTTGCCAGCCCTCCGCGACGCCGGCGAGCCCGACTGCACCCCGTAGCGGACATGGGATCGACGGCGCTCGGTGGTGCGGCTCCGGCGCGCGCCGGATTGGCCCCCAAGGTGACGCCCGCTCCTTTTTTTCCCCTTACTTTCTATCCCGTGCAAGCTCTGATTGCTTGGGAATTGAATGGGGCCATGTATTGGCTCTCACCTGTAGTTGAACCCGATTAGCTGTACTGTATAATAAACATATGCTGATATGCCCGAACTCCATGGAAATTACATCGGACTAACGTTTTAGCAAAAATGGTTGCTTCGGTAGGCGGTAGTGGTAAGCAATTTTGAATTTGCTAACTGAAGTGTCTGAGAATGGTATGATGACATCTCTTAAATGGGAACATGAACTGTACCTTAGAGTGGGTGAATTAGTCATAACGGGTGGTCCTTTGACCCAACTGTTGCATTGTTCCAGCAATTGCATCCTGTTTCGTCATGAAATTGCTTATTTTTTAACTTAAGCGCTGAGGTGATTTCTTATTTCACGTGTAGAATGGAGTCCTTGGATCTACTTTCAAGCCATGCGGTGTGGTCAAGCTCAAAACAACTCCTAAGGTGAGTTTTATTCCCTCTTATTTTCCTAATAAAGATTTCTTTGTTTACTGTCGTACTCCACATACTAAAAAAATGTCTACATTAAAGGTTGGACGCTCTTCAGTCTGTGTGAGGGCATCCATTGCTTCTTCACCACAAAAACAGTACTCTCCCAAGACACCAGCAGTTCAATCAGGGGAGGAAGTACGCATTGCAGTGCTAGGAGCCAGCGGTTATACTGGGGCTGAGGTTGTTCTTTTTTCCCTGTCATTTTCCATTTGTGTTGACTGCTTATCATCCAGGTCTAGTGGTAGATTGTTTCACCCGGCAAACATGTAAACAAGGGGCACATTCTTGGCCATTATTACCAAAAATCTGGCAGGGTGGGATTAGTTTAGTCGCAAACCCAACAAGCCAATCCACCTTTACTCCTATGCACTTATCTTTTTTTGCTTTTCCGATGCAACATTCCGTTGCTAGTATTCCGATATTTTGATCCTTTTTCGGTTCAGTTACTAATGTGGCATGGTACATTTTTGCCAACAGATTGTGCGGCTTCTAGCAAACCACCCTCAGTTCCGCATCACAGTGATGACCGCAGATAGGAAAGCCGGTGAACAGTTTGGATCTGTATTTCCTCACTTGATAACACAGGTAAGAACTTCTCTTCACTTCCTCCACATTTGATGCGTCATTCTTGTGCATCAAGAATTAGCTGAACCTTTCAGCAGTAGCACATTTCTGTATATGCATTTGTGTTGCCATATGTTGATCCTCTTTTAATATTGCAGGACCTGCCAAATTTAGTTGCAATTAAAGATGCAGATTTTTCAGATGTTGATGCTGTTTTTTGTTGCTTGCCGCATGGAACAACACAGGTTGGTATCTTCATCATACTTTTTCTGAGATGTTTTCTATCAATTGCTGAACTTATGAAGGAATCCAGTTATATGCTCTGCTGTCAATTGGGAGATCAGATTTTGTACTGGACACACTTAGAGCAATGTCTGATTGCAAGTTTTTTATCAGGAAATTATTAAAGGTTTACCCAAGCAACTGAAGATTGTTGATCTCTCTGCGGTATGCTCTACACAAACTCATGCTTTATCTGCATAGGTCCTCGGTTGCTATTGAACATCCAATCATTCTGACTTACCATGCTTGCAGGATTTCCGATTGCGTGACATCAATGAGTATGCTGAGTGGTATGGCCATGCTCATAGGGCACCAGAACTTCAGGTTTTCTTGACTACTGTACCCTACAGATTTTTAATATACCAGCCATTGGTCACACAAATTTTGAAGCTACCAAGTTCTGAAGTTCCAGTTTCGACATTTAATTACCAACTTGGATTCCTATTGACATGTTCCATCGATTTCTTTGTATATTACATTTGGGGCTTCAGTTAGATTCCTTTGTAGCCTATGATGTTTTTTACTCCTCTCCTGTCATTATGTGTGTTTGTTATGAACTCATTTCCTTTGTGTTCTGTGTATCTTTATATTCAGGAAGAGGCTGTTTATGGTTTGACGGAGGTTCTTCGAGATGAAATAAGAAATGCACGGCTTGTTGCCAACCCGGGATGTTATCCCACGTCTATTCAGCTCCCTCTTGTTCCTCTAATAAAGGTTAGAATCAATATAAGTTCTTAGTCCTCCCATTCTTTGATCAAAGCAACACAAGTTTAGACTCAATAGCCCCCACTCGTGTGATATATTTACAAATGTACAAAGAATCTCCATTTTCTGTAGCAAAGGAAGTAGATTTGTCAAAATATTCTGCCTCTAAGGCACGCTCCTTTATGTAAATTTAAAAATGTCATCAGTTTAATATTACCTCCATTCCAAATTGTAAAATGTTTTGGATATTTCAATATGGACTACATATGGATTGAAATGAGTGAGCAAACACACAAATATACATTCAGAAAAAAGTTAGAACATCTTATAATTTGGAACGGAGGAAGTAGTCTTCTTAGTATCTAGGTTATGGACATACCTTGTCTCAACATGGGATTCAGAACAGGATCAGAGGTTCTAACCATATTTTATTTTACCTTGCAGGCAAAACTGATCAAGCTGAGCAATATAATAATTGATGCAAAATCTGGGGTTACCGGGGCAGGTATTTTTTGAAGATACGATGACTTCAAAATATAAGCTTGTAATGACTGGATCAATAACCGAAATGCTCCCCATGACATGTATTTCTTTAGGACGTGGAGCTAAGGAAGCAAATCTTTACACCGAGATAGCTGAAGGCATTCATGCTTATGGAATAAAAGGCCACCGTCATGGTAACCCTTTTTTCCAAACATCTCAAGTCTGACATTTGTTCTCCTTTGGTAAAGTGGCTTTAGTATGGCCTTACTGACAATGAGATAAAACCATTTCAGTTCCTGAGGTTGAACAAGGATTGTCAGAGGCTGCAGAATCCAAAGTTACTATCAGCTTCACTCCAAATCTTATCTGCATGGTAAGCACATACTCAAAGACAACTCCAGGTTCTGCAGTTTGTTCTGTGCTGCACCTGCACTAAAGGCATAAGAAATGTGTGGAGTTCAGTTGTTAAATCAAATCATTTATCTGTATGATGAACAGAAACGTGGGATGCAATCTACTATGTTTGTTGAAATGGCACCTGGAGTGACTGTCAGTGATTTGTATCAGCATCTCAAGTCTACTTATGAGGTTTGTTTGTTTGACCATGTGGATTAAATTATCTATCTGCAGAGAGCTCTCCTATTTTACAGTTTTACCACATAAATGCTTTTTCTTTTGTTAGCATCATTCTGCGTGTGCATCTTTTCAGGGTGAAGAATTTGTCAAGCTGTTAAATGGCAGCAATGTTCCTCACACACGCCATGTTGTTGGATCAAATTACTGTTTCATGAATGTCTTCGAGGACAGAATTCCTGGAAGGGCCATCATCATCTCTGTCGTAAGTGTTGCATCAATCTATAAGTTGCTCAAAGTTAGCGAAATGTTGCAGACTTAAAGATGCAAAATCCTTATTTTTCTTGTTCTTCAACACTGCAGATAGACAATCTTGTGAAAGGAGCATCTGGCCAGGCCGTGCAGAACCTCAATCTGATGATGGGACTGCCTGAGAATATGGGGCTGCAATATCAGCCCCTATTTCCTTGATATGTTGTGCCTTTGTTGTGCTCTTTCTTGATGATGCTTTGGAGTTAAGCACCCATCTCTGTTTTCCGTTGAGAAGCAAAGAGCTGAATGTCGGAGTGTAACCAAACTCGCTCAACAGCAAAACTTGGTTTGTGCTGGTGTAGTATTTAGAGATGTGCAACAATTAGCAGTTGAATAAGAGAGTGAACTGAGTGGCTTGGTGTAATGAAAGTCCGAAGGCTATTATATCCTATAGTGGATTGTTGTCATGAGATCAATAAAGCAGTGTAAAACCCGATTCAGAGACATCAACCATTGCTGTCAGCATTGGATATAGTTAGAAGTGTGTTACTTTTAAATATTAAAGGATAAATTAGTTTTCAAGTTCTTTGTCAAATTTTATCTTGTGTAATGTGACCAGATCCTAAACTTTACCACAATAATGCTACTGACTGGTCAATTGTGTTTCTGTCCTTTCTAGCCTATCAAAATACCATGATTTATTTCTGAGTTAACTTTGAATCTATTTAATTAGTTACCATCTGTTGTTTGGAATGCCATGGTAAAGCTCCAGCAGTTAGTTCTGTTGATGTAAATGGGCTTGCTATAAGGTTGACTTTGTGTGGCCCGTACCGTATGCAGTAGTGACTCAAGAGGAGCCTATTTGAGAATTGCTTGTGTTCATTTGATTTAATATTTACATGATAAATGTGTGTAGATGCATCGAAAGAGGAGCCCAGAGATTATTATTTTTATTTCCCATTGTTCTTCTATGTCTGGGTGATTCTTTCGTTATGCTGTTGGGTGCTATCCACACAATAGATCTTTGTTATTTTGACATATGTAATATGTTAGGGGCTGCAAGCCTGTCATGAACTCTGAACTTCTAAATTGGTTTTAGAAATGTATGGTCAGGTTTCAGTAGTTCTTCAACCAGAAGTTTTAATTACTTTCTTCATTTTCTGGAGTGATGATAAAAAAAATATAGCTCCAAATATTATAATTTTGTCATTTTTTTACTGGTCAATCTGAGGGCAGGCCTGGCGCAGTGGTGAAGTCCTCCCCACTTGTGCCAAGAGGTCCTGGGTTCGAACCAGCCTCTCTGCATTGCACTTTGCAGGGGTAAGACTAGGTTCCTATAATCCCTCCCCAGACCCCACCTTGTGTGGGAGCTTCTATGCACTGGGTCTGTCCTTTTTTACTGGTCAATCTGATGTTAATGTTGCAAAATCTAAGAAAAACATAATAATTTGATGCGACTGTACAAACTTGTCAAAGATATAGGTACATATATCGATCTTTACAAAATATCAATTGGTAAATATATGACTATGAGGGAGGCTGCAATGATAAGTCCAAGTTGTTCATTGCATTAAGGTGGGTTAGCCTAATGGTGAAATAGGAATATTAAGTTGTCATTTTGAGTATTGTTCTTCAAGGGCTCTTAACTCTTCAGTTCTTCAGTACCACTTATTCTTAAATTTTCTTGCTACTGGGTCTTGTTAGGAGATGTATCTAGGCCCTCCTAGCAAAATTTTGAGTTAAAAATTAATTGTTGATGCTTTCTTTTTTGGTTGTGCTAATCGAAGATGCTATGTTCTGTTTGACTTGAAATGGTTGTAGGCTTGGAAACACTTCTGCACTACTTTATTAACCTTTGACCTTCAGGCTTCAGGTCTTTATGCATATTCTCTGACTTCTGGTTCGTTCTCTGGTTTATTAATGTATTTTTGTTTTGTTTGACTTCTCAGTTTTTTGCATTCACAATGCATATGAAATATGGAAGTATGATACATGTTCTTCTGTTTTAAAATTTTAATCAACTTGTTTAGGAGTATTTTAGGGAATGGTAAAATGCAGATGGGCTTTGGGTTAGCCAAGATCATTGTAAGTCTTTATAGTCTGCATTTCACACTTATTTGATATACCTACAAGATAAAATGAAACCAGCCTTCATGTTTTTCTGTTGCTTTATTTTCATGATAATATCATAGCTGTGGAAATATCAAAATGTATTTTCCCCACTTGAGCTTGAATAGGTAAAGAATGTTTTATGGCAGTTATTTTAGTGTATATTTATTGAGAATATTCATATTATCTAAGGGCGATAGATAGGTTTCAAATGCTTGCTGCAGCACGAGAACCTACTGGAACTTTTATGACTCAGGGTAGTATGCATGTTCCTCTTACCTTTTCCTTTCACCTCAGTTTCATCTTAGTTATGTTACTGTACTAGCTAGTTAACTTTTCTGTAGCATGGCTGCAGCAAACTTTTTTTGTAGCACCGACTTTGCAGGTAAGGTCTTTGTTTTGGATGCTATTTCACGTGTTCAATATACTTTTCTTCACCATTACTTGTTTACGTAAATGTATATACAGTTCAGTAAATTAGTATTTATAAGTAAAAACTTTCCATGTATAAATCTTACTCCCTCCATTCTGAATTATAAGATGTTCTAACTTTTTTCTGAATCAGATGTATATAGACGCGTTTTAGTGTGTTTGTTCACTCATTTCAGTCTGCATGTAGTCCATATTGAAATATCCAAAACGTCTTCTAATTTGGAACAGAGGTGATACTCCCTCCGTTCCAAATTATAAGATGTTCTAACTTTTTTCTGAATCAGATGTATACAGACGCATTTTAATGTGTTTGTTCACTCATTTCAGTCTGTATGTAGTCCATATTGAAATATCCAAAATGTCTTATAATTTGGAACAGAGGTGATACTCCCTCCGTTCCGAATTATAAGATGTTCTCACTTTTTTCTGAATCAGATGTATATAGACGCGTTTTAGTGTGTTTGTTCACTCATTTCCGTCCGTATGTAGTGCATATTGAAATATCCAAAACGTCTTATAATTCGGAACAGAGGGAATACATGTTATTGTTTGACTAGTTAATTAGCAAGTTGTTCACAATGAGAACCATTGATTGAATACTTATGAAATATATTGTATCGGAGATTTGTATTCCTGGGTATTTATCATATTGACATCTGTATGCAAGCAATCAGTAATATTCCATCATTTGGTTCGACTTGCCATTATCCTTTTTTCTCAGTTGAAAGTGACACCATTGTACAAGTATAAACTGAAAGTCACAATGAAAAATATGTTGTGTAAACATTTGAGCAAAGAATCAGGATTTCGTGCCAAGTGAAGCTGCCATCCATAAATTTCCATGATACGGTGTTCCAAAAAAAATTCCATTATTATAGTGCACATAAAATTATCCAAGTTAACATGGCAAAAAAAAACATGAAATTCGTCCTTGATATGTACTCCCTCCGTTCGGAATTACTTGTCGCGAAAATGGATGTATCTAGAACTAAAATACGTCTAGATACATCAATTTCTGCGACAAGTAATTCCGAACGGAGGGAGTAGAACCAAGAAGGGGATAGTAATGTTTGTGCAGATGAGCAGTATTCTTACTGAAGCTCAATACATAAGTAGCTTTATTAGTGTTATTTAATATTAATAAGACGACAACAATGTTATTTCTCCATACATATTTTATTAGTGGTAGTCCTATGCTTGATATGTGGGCTAAGGAGAATTTTATGTTTGTCCCTTCAGATTTGAATGGGTTCAAAGGAAACAATTTTGTAATTTCGCTTCCTCACGATGCAATTGGACCTTCTAGAAGTCGGAAAGTTCCTTTGTATTTTTGGTATGTTCTAAGACCCCATATTCTTCATTTCTATGCCTATCAGAGACAGAAGATTACTATGTAGGTATTTCACAAATCATTCTGCAATTTGGCTGCAGAATGTTTGGAAGTTCCTGATTCTTTCATGCAGCTAAAAGGGCAACAACAAACAGGTCTATAAACAAAGCACATTATCTTGCTCCTTCCAATTCATTTCCCTTTGCCAGCATCTTAGATATCATTGTTTATTCCCTCCTTGATCCTCTGTGTGGAACAAAGAGGCAAGAAGAATAGGTCCTTTTTTGGTGGCGAAGGGGCAGTGCAAAAGTACAGCTCATTCCTTGCACGACCGGTAGATTCGAGTCATGTGCAGCCCCTAATTCCCTGAATATACGGAAATCAGTTCCAATTGATGAGGATATCGGCATCAGATCACCCAATGACTCAGATTTGTCGGGTCATTGAAGACCGATGTTGTGCAGAGTCATTTGGATTTCACATGCTCTCTGATTTTGAAGATATGCCATAATCTGAAAAGAAGATTGGAAGTGCCCACATGTGAATCTGTGATATGGTAATCTTGGCTGAAACTGTCACTTGGTTGACCACCAGACAAATGTCATATTATACTGATGATAGTTATAACTATGTACAGGTTTTCTCAGTCCTCAGTTTGTATAGATCTATATTGCACTGTTTGGGTGCTCGGAGCTTCTTTCTTCTATACACACCTTCACGGAAGGTAAATGATTGGTGCAATTTTTGTGTATCAGTGGCTTTGTTTCAATTTGATGATGTAGTATCATAAGCATGAAACAGACACGAAGGTTGCGGGCAGATGCTGTTGAAGTAGGTGATGGAAAGCTGTACATTTTGAGTATAAGATGGCAAGCAATCGGGGTACACGGAGGACTGGAGGCATTGTCCAATCCCTCTTAAGCATTTAAGAATGTCCAGATTCCCTCCATCATGGTCGTGCAAGCCTCTCCTTGCAGCTCTCTAGTTTATTGGGAGTGGATTATTCCATTCCAACAACATTCTCCACAATCATAATGCCTGATCCTGTATTAATTGCTAAGATAAGCCCATGTTTGTCCTGGCTTTGATTTGAGCCTCAGAGGCATGTTTTTTTTCCTTGTCCTGTTGGTGCATCGATGCTGCGGGAGAATTCTCTGCAATCATTGAAACCGGCCTTGAGACACTTGCCACTCGAGCTCTGATTGGCTTGACTTCTGAAGATGTGTGATCTTGGATAATTCACTATCTTGTTGTGTACCAACTAGCAGTTGAAGTTTTCTAAACTCATTATTTGCCCATCCCCAGGCCATACTTGGAAGGGTCGTTGTCAGCACAGGTCATACCCAGC